ATAGTTCTATTCTTCCAGTCTATATAATTACCAACAGATGGTTCTATTCTTCCAGTCTATATAGTTACCAACTAACACTTATATTCTTTCAGTTTATATAATTACCAACAGATGGTTCTATTCCTCCAATTTATATAATTACCAACAGATGGTTCTATTCTTCCAGTTTATATAATTACCAACAGATGGTTCTATTCTTCCAGTTTATATAGCTATCATTAAATAGTCATTAAAATATTAAATAAATAACACACAATGTTAAAATCAATACATAATTAAAAACATTTTAAAAATTGTTTATAGAACCACTTCAACAATGTTCCTTCTAACAATACTTTTGTTAATGTGCTCCACGCACTACGTACGTAATTTAAAATCTCTTTATATTCTAACCCTTCAATGATCCTGTCTAAGCCTTTTTTTCTATGTAACACAGTTTAAACTGCCTGATGAAGAGCTTTTGCCCAAAACGTTGCAGATAAAGTTTTTGTCACAGACGTGTGTTTTACCTATTTTGAACAGTTCTGTTCATTATTTCATATCCAGAATATGGACCTGACATGTTTCAATGTGTACTACATTAGGACATGGTAAATGTCGAAACAACTGGAGTCCACATTATAGAATTTTTAAAACGTTTTTAGCAATTTTAACATTGTATATTATTTATTTAGTATTTTAACATTATACAAGAGTGCCAAGAAAATAATTAAATAGTCATGTTTTTGCAGTTTGCACAGCAGCCAATGCGTTTGAACTTTATAGCTGTCGAAGAACAGTTCTATCTTCGTAATCTACACAGTTATCAATGTTTAGTTCTCTTGCTTCAAAGTATATAAGTTCCAGTGGAAAGTTTTGACTTTCTTGCTAGGTTACACCAATGAAATGTCAGTTAATCCACTAAATAGCTCTAAATGTAGTGCCTCACAAATCTATATGGCTAATAACAGTTCTGCTCCTTCAGTTTATACTGTTAACATGTAACACCTCTGTTCCTTTAATCATGCTACCAAATGAACGGTACTGTTCTTAACCAGCTACTATAATTAACAGTTCTTTTCTTCAAATGTATGAACCTCAACATGTGTTTTCCCAGTTTACATGGTTACCAATGGACAGTTCTGTTGATTTAATCAATAATGCTATCACTATATGATTTTACTCTTCATGCTAATTATCTACAACTGAACAGTTATGTTGTCTACTCTGTATAGATGTAGTTGATCAGCTATTTTTAGTCTGTCTGTGTTGTTGCCGCTAACAAATTCTGAAGTCTATATAGATATAAAGGTATAACAGAAGTTTCTTACTTGTAAATAAAATAGCCACCTATGAACGTTTTAGTTGTTAAAATCTATTCTTTAAGACAGCAGAATTCTGTTTTGACAATTAAATAATTCCATAAAAGTTCCATTTTTATCATGTTTTAGCTGTGGTAAAACATGTGCATTTTATTTAGTTCAATTACTTTACACAGCTACATGCAACTTTGGCATAAATGTTAATGAATTGATTCAAGGACTGGTTATATAATAGACATTTAGCATTGTTCTTTAATTAACGTGTATTTTCTAACTTTCTCTTCACAAGCCCCCAGAACATTCCACATTTTACCGAGGCCCCCTCATCCAGTGAATCTATTTATACTGAGTACCTTAACACAGTGGTTCTCAAAGTGTGATCCAAGAGGGTCCTCCAGGTGGTCCAAAATGCAAGTCACATCAAAAGCATTGCCATTCTTCTCATTAAATCTAGTTTGTTTTTTTTTGTGCCAAATGAAAGTGCGTGGAGAAGGGCTGGTAGGTGGTCCTTGGATGAGAACAGTTTGAGAACCACTGCCTTAACAGTATTGTGTGTTTCTAACAGTCCCCAGTAAGGGAACCCTTGTTCTGTGATACCACATTTGAATCTGTTTAAAGAATATTTAAACATCTCAAAGAGAAGAAAGTAGGTTTTTCTGATATACATGCTATTTTTCAGCAGTACTATCTAAATAATACTTTAGAAAAAAATACAAGCTGCTTTTTCAAGTATAATATCTGTTACTTTTAACACAGTTTGTACATGCATTGTTATTAAAACTGGTTTCAGTTTTGTTCTAAACTAATAAATTCTGACATCATCACTATACATTACCATTTCAAATGTTATCAAGTATACGTCACATTATATGTAATACTTTTTTACTGTCAATTCTTAAAACTGTTATATAAATTGTTAGGATATGTATGTTTAAGGCAATAAAATATGAGAAAGTCTAACTTTGAATAGACTTTCGAAAACAACAAACTTAACAAATCTGCTGGAAACTGGTTCCTAACATTATTATAAAAAGTAGTACAACTAAATAAATAACAAAAACTATATATATATATATGTCATAGCTCACTTAATCTTTGTTAATACTTAAAAAAAAAAAAGTTAATTTTCTTTATGTAATTTACTGCCTTGACATAAAGTTAAAAAGTTTACTACATTAACTCTGACTTACCCATTCACAGAAAAAAATAATATAAAAATAATACTGTAAAATCACAAGTATTTCTATTTAATTTCTGGATAAGAAGTAACTGTGGTTTTTGTTGAACATTTTCGAGTGAATTATTTATCATCTCGCAAACCTAAGTGAATATAACACGCGTGTGTATATGCATATATACTTGTACAATCACATGCTTCCAGAATAATATTTTCTTTTGCAAGACTGAGCGACTTGTCTTAAATACTTTATTTATTAGCAGAGTTTTGCCCACAGTAGGTGTGATGGGTGGGTGTACCTGGAACTCCTTACGTATGTACTGAAATTTCAATAAAATTTGTTAACTTTGACTGGCTTACATACATAAAGCCTAAAAAATATATCTCTTTTGTGCTCATTTTTGATTGTTCTGCACAAAATATTTGATCCTGGATCCACCTAATATGGCTTCCCAATTTTGATGCAGACCCTGTACTCAAAAATTCCTGGGCAGAACCCTGCTTTAGATTTGTCATCTTACAAAAATATCAGTATAAATAAAACAAATTAGAAAAAACACTTTACATCAAAATCAGTTCATTTTCTTGGCATCCTTAAGTATCTAATTCCCAAAATGAAAAATTATTCGTCCTTAATCTGTCAAAAAGTACTATTCAGAATATTTAGTACATTCAGTTGGTCTTGACATCCATAAATACATCCTTTGTGGATGTTTTAATTATAAATAATAGTATTCAAATGTTTAACCATCATTTTCAGATGCTCTCTCAGGATATTGCTAATGGCAAAACTAGTGTTAAATTTGTTAAGATGAACGTAGTGATCATTGTATTTTGTCTCACTCTTGACTGTCACACTTTTAGACAAGACTACTAATGTATAATATTAAATCAGTCTCAAACGTTAACCATTCTAGATGTGTGAGTATAAGAAATATGATTGAAAAGGGGAATTATTAGCAGCCATAAAACCAATACTTGGACTTTATCATATGATTAATGCAAAGTTTGTCATCTGAAAATAGAGCTATTAAGGAAACTCGGACAAAAATTAAAAATTCATTACTTCTGGGTATTTACCTAATCGGATATGAGCATTAAGAGTACCATTACTTTGTTTAACTGATATTAATTGTGCAATGAAAGTGAAAAACCGGTTGATTTTTAGGATCTGTGTGGGTGTGATTAACACTCGGGAGCAGTTTCCGAGTCTGTATTTGTAAAAATTTCTTAAAATGTAAAATTTGTGGTATTAATAAACTGCACCATATTTAACTATTTGAATGAGTTAAATAAAAAAAAAATTTCATTTAAGTCAAAATTTTGTTCAACAAAAATAAAAGGAACAGAAGCATATATATATATATATATATATAGAGAGAGAGAGAGAGAGAAGGTATCTGTTTTCAGACACGAGCTTTTGATAATAGTTTACACTGTGATTTTATAGCTTTCTCTTGCTTTTTGCAAAAATGTGTAACATGTTTGTTTTGATCAATGTGTTGATGTAAGGCACTTCACAAAACAATAATACTGTCAGGGAAAAATTCTGGCTACACTTGTCTTGACCAGTGGTCCATACGTGTCTATTT